GGGGTCTGACAGAATTGACCTCTTTGTCAAGAGAGAGAATGAGTTGGTTACTGTGCAGCCCGAGGGTCCCCCGGGGGTCTGGTGCAAGGAATATAGCTCAGGCTGCAGTGGTGGGAAACGGCGGGGGTCCAAAAGGGGAAAAACTCATCTGTCTGGTTGGCGGGTGAGGGTCCGGGAGCTGGGCAAATGAAAAAGCGGAGCGGGCAGTTGCAGGCCCTTGGTATAGGTTTCTGACAAGGCTCAGCCCTGGATGCAGAGCGGGCTGAATGTCCTATCCAAGTACACGGCACAATAAAAGAATGATAAGCGGCACTGGTTGTGGTGCTGGTTACTGGCGGAAATACCCAGTATCAGTATTCAGAGCTTTATTAGGAGGAAAGGGGGGGAGGACAGGAGAGAGGAAAGTCAGGCCTGGAGAGGAAAGTCAGGCCTGGAGAGGAAAGTCAGGCCTGGAGAGGAAAGAGAGAGAAAGATGGTGGGATGGGGGAGAGGGAGCAGAGCAGAGAGAGAGGGTGGGGTCTGCATCCGGCTTTTAAGGGCTCCCGGTATGGAGCTACACACCACGCCTGCGCTGATTGTGTGACCATGGTAGTCGCCAGCTCACACTGATGACGTAAGATGCAAGACCATTTGCTTAACTCCTGGACTGCGCATGTGCAGTCACACAGCTGGAGTGAGGGCAGAATTCTAACATCTTGGGCTAGCACACGGCTCTTCACAGTTCTCCTATCCTGTTCCTGTCCCCACTGAGACAACTTCTAGCTCAGTGCTTTTCAACATGTTTTTCTGCCTGTTCTAGTCCCTTGGTATGTGACACAGGCTAATTTTTTAGAGCGAGAATTTGTTGCTTATGGTTTTGAAGGCTGGGATATTAGGTAAGGTGACAGAAGGTTTGGCATCTGAAAGGGCTGTTCTCTGCTTCAAGAGGGTAGGTAGTGGACGCTATGCCCTTATACATTTGCAGAGGTACCGAAGAGCACAAATCCATTCCACCACGCCTTTCTGTATGGTTGCTAATCCCTTTGAGACTCTGGTAACCTTTACTGTCATGCTGTTAGTAGCAGGGACAAATGTAGTTGACAAACTCAAGTGTGCCAGAGATGTGACTCCGTTGTTCCTAGAACCTAATGTCTAGTTTTAGTCTTAATTGGCTCGGATGACAGACTCTCCAGCAGTGTTGGAGATCCCTGTTCCTCCTTAGTTCTAAGGGAGTTAAAGAGTCTGGAGGAGCAATGAGGAGTTTCTGGTGTCACCAGCTCACACCAACACCCACGGTGATCTACATGGTGATGGGTTTGAGCATCAATTAGGCAAGGTATGGCAGAGGGGTTCTGGGGACCCTCCACGTGGCTTCTTCAGGTCTGCAGGGGCTCCATGACTCCTCTGCCTCTCTTGGTGATGAGCTGTTGATTGTCCCAGGCTGTGACACGGCATAGCAGCTCTAAGGCTGTCTGAGACTCCATTTACCCAGGTGCTATTCTTAAGTGGGTTCTGACTGTCTTTCTGGGGCTCTGCCTAGCTCTGGGTTCCCACAATTCTATCTGAGAATCCTGCTGTCTCTTTTGGGCTCAATTTTTGGGTAAAGAGCATGGATTCCCTCTCTGAGATTCACTGACATCATTGTAAACTACTTGTCCTTCATCTCCTGATTTTTCCCTAGGCTGGGGATTCTTTTCTAACATAGCCAGGAGGGCCAATCTTATTCTTACTTCCTGTCCAAGCTGTGAATGTCTTCCCTTTCTCTATGGGTCTGGGTTTCTGAAACTTATGACTAGAAAGAGAGACCCTGTCTTTTCTACATTTGACAGTCATTTTGTCTTCAGGAGTGGAGAACAATAACCTTCTTTTTCTTCTTTTGACAGGTTCTCATTACGTACCCCTGGCTGGTCTAGAACTCAGTATATATAGTATTGCCTTAAACCCACAGAGACCCACCTGTCTCTGCCTCCCAAGTGCCGCCATGGCCGACTTTAACCTTACTATTTTACCGGGAAGGAAGATCAGGAGCTTGAGAGAGTGGTTTGGGTGAAGCAAATAGTGATGTACTTAATAACACACTTGCAGTGTTTGATGAATCTGGTGGTGATAATGATGACACAGTAATGATATCATTAACATCTGTTGAGTACATAGTGTGTGCCGGGTCTGATCCCAAAGACCCTCTTTTCCTGACATCTCCATTAATCGTCCCAGTAACTGTGCATTTTGTGTTAGTCTCAATAATCCACCAGAACTGCTGAAATCTAGAAGGGTAATGCAAATGATGGGGCTGGACTTCATGCACTAGCCTACTCCCAATGTCTGTGCTCAACCGACACACCTCTCAGACTTGTGGTAACATCCCTCGAGCCTCTGCCCCTCAGGACACAGGGAGTCATTCTATTTCTCTAGCATACTTCAAAAGCATCCCCTTCCTCACCTGCACAGGTGAGCTGCCATGGTGTGCCCAGCATCAATCAGCCTCAGAGCCTGGTCACTCTCTGTGTTTCTGTTCTGTCCTCTCACGACCCCGCCACACCTCAGTCCCCCCCCCACCTCACCCCGCACACGCTTCCAAACACTCTTTGTCTCCTGCTCTTGGCTTAGCCTTAAAAATAACATGTTCAGCCGAGAGCTCAGCCCACAAAAGGGAAGAAGGAACAAGAGCAAAGAGCAGGCAGAGTGCTGTTTGGGTAGACTGGGCACATGGCTCTGCAAAAGGAGGAGAGACCTGGGATCCTACGGTCTGTGTCCTTCAGGGTCTCCAGGCTGCCCCTCCTGGCCACTATGATTATGCTGAGGCTAGGCCTCCCAGGCTCTTCTTCAAGTAGGCAGAGCATCTTCTATTAAGTAAAGTGCCCATGACTTCGGAATCTCCCCAGTCATGAAGTATCTGTTGCTAGAGGGGTGCTGTGCCTTTGGATTAACATGCTGAAGATACCACACAAATGCAGTTTCAAAATTCAGGCGTCAGACATTCCCACGACAGCACAGTAGGGCTGAACTAGCCAGTTTAGCCTGGCAGGCTTCTGGAGGACTGTGGTGGGTGGTGGTGGGAGGAAGACAAGGGGAGTTGTGAGGTGGTGCAGGGCTTTGGTACGGTGGATGTGAGGACTCATGGCTTCTCTGCAGGTGAGGACTCCATCAGCACACTGGGCATGATCCTTGGAGTGGGATTGTCACTGCTGCTTGTGTCCATCCTGGGCTACAGCCTAGCCAAGTGGTACCAGCGCGGGTACTGCTGGGACGGTGAGTGAGCCCCATGCCAACCAGCCCCAAGCTCTGCTCTGCCCTTCCTCATCAGTAGAGCTGGCAAGGCTGGGCGGGGTGGCAAGCCTTTCAGCCCAGCGAGATGCAAAAACATTTCCTCTGGTGGTTGCAGTGGTTGAAGATTCGAGTGAACAGCTGAGCAGTTGAAGCGCACTTGCGGGGTGGGGTGGGGTGGGGTGGGGTGGGGTGGGGGTGGAGGGTGTGCTCAGATGGGAAGGTGGGGGCGGGGTTCAGATGGGGAGGTGGGGCCTTTATTGAGGGACTGGAGGCTCCTCCCACTCGAAGAAGCAGCCAGCTTCTATTTTTTTTGAACTCCCCAAGACTAAGAGCAGTGCCTGGAAGGCCAGGGCGGCAAGCTGGCTCCTTATGTGTCAGTCTCTTGTGTCTCCTGCATACGTCCCCAACCCTTTGATGTGTCTTCCGGAATTTGCTGTGGTCTTTTCAACTGGGGAAGCCAGGAGAGCATGCTGGGACACTGACAGAGGAAACCTCCCAGGGGTTCATTTACAAGGATCTATTGAGCATCTACCGTGTACCAATGTACTTTTCCTCCGCATGTGTTTTTAAAATTCCACACAATGAAGAAGTTATTATATTTTTGCCCTGTTCTTATATATGGCCTTGATATGGATACAAGGCTGACCTCAAACTCCCCCTCTCTCTGCCTCAGCCTAGTGAGTTCTGGGAATAGAGCCAAGCATCATCATGTTTAGCTACAGCCTACGTTTTTTGTTTTTTTTGTTTTTTTTGTTTTTTTTTTTTTTTGGAGACAGTCTCTAGCCCAGGCTGGCCTTGAATTATCTATGCAGCTAAGGAGACCTTGAACTTCTGAACTTCTTGCCTCCACCTCTCAAGTGCTAGGATTACAGCTGCACACTACCACACCTAGTTTATGCTGTGTTTGGGAAGGAACCCAGGGCTTCGCACATGCTAGATAAGTACTCTACGAACTGAGTGGCGTCTTCATCCCTCAGCTTCCATTATTGAAGTAGACAGGTATGCGGTGAAAATCATAGGGTTGGAACATGAAGCTGGAGTGAAGCTTAGGTCTGGTTCTTTGTGGGGGGCTCTGTGCTAGAATTGCTTCCTTCCTAGGGTGATCAGGGCTCCTGTTAGAAGGACCCTGAAGGGTCTTGAGAACCCCACACCACAGCCCAAGGCCAGCCTGTTTACCCTATGGGCAGGCGAGGGAAGCACCACATGTTCCCAGAGAGATGATAGTCACCTCCCCTGGAGATCTTCACTCTTGTTTCTAGTTGTCTTCCCAGGGCCTAATTTTGTCTTCAACTTATACCAGATCCGGTGAGTAGATCCAAGACAGATCTGGGTGGGCTGGCATTGGGGGCTGAATATAATGAAAAAGGAATTAGAGACAGAAATGGAACTTATTTGCTTCCCTTCCCTGGCTTTCTCCATGCTTCCTAAGCAAACCAGAAATACTCCATTTAAGAAAGTTCTCAGAGTAAAGCATGCCTACAAACAGCACCATGGGAGGCCCTCTTGACAGCAGTCATCCTAGTATTCACTCTCAGACAGAGAACATGCCACCCAAGTATCCATCCATCTACCCACTCCTCCACTCATGTACAAACTTATCTACTCATTATCCATCCATCCATCCCATAACACCCACCAATCATCCATCCATCAACCCACCCACCCACTTATTCATCAATCTACCTGTCCACCCACCCCACTACCCACCAGTTCATCTATGCGCCACCCATCTGCTCTACTCATCTACCCATTAACCCCCATTACTCATCCATGAGTCCATATATTCATTCATGTATGCATCCACTCATAGATGCACATATGCATTCATGTACTCATCCATGCATGCATGCATGTATCATCCTTCTATTCACCTATACACTATTCATCTATCCGTCCATCCATCCACTCACTTACCTGTCCACCTATTCATTATTTTTTAAGAGAAGTTTTATTATAGCCAGTTTTATGGTATTTATTTCCAAGAACACAAAGATGACTTGGCATATTTTCTGTCCATAAGTGTGTCACTGTCAATGCTGGAGACAAATCTGATTGCAAATAATGCAATCTTGGGCACAGTGTAGGATTCAAAAAAGAAGAGAAATCAAAGAAAGTCATGGATTTGAGGAACAGAAGTCAGGAAGACCTCTCGGGGTACATTGTCTCACTATTTCCTGCCACTGGGCAGACCTGCTTCTCCTCTGGCCCTGAGAGATGAGATGAATCTTCTTCTGGAAGATAAGTCAGTGAGCCAGTGACCTAGAGATTGTCCCTATTTCTAGGAACCACTTTGTAGGTTCTAGTTTAGGGAGACAGGCCCCAGGGAGAGGCTGGTTCTCAGTTTCAATGGCTTTATTGGAAATCTGTCTCAGGAACCTGAAGGACTTAGAAGTGGGGCCACCCTTCACCATCAGTGGCCACATGAGCAGTCCAGATGGCGGCTACATGAAGTTCTCCAATGAAAGAGTCTGATGGAGATGCATCTAGCCTCTGGAGGTCAGAAGAGGTGAGTAGGAAAACTCCTGAGTGGGTCTGATGTCTGAGTAAGGTCTTATGAGGGCCCAGGCCGTCAAGCCTAGCACCGAGGATCACTCACAACACAAATACATTACTCAATCCTTCTACTCTTTCTTGGGAGAGTCAGGTAAGATTGATGGCATAGCAAAGCCCTTCCCAAGCCATTTTCTCTTTTTAGCATCTCTTTACACAGGGAAAAGGCTCTTGGGTCATCATGAGCTCCTTCAGCCTTCCTGGACCCTGAAAGCCTGGCCTGGCCCTGAGTGTGGAGAATGAGAAGCCTTCTCTGGGTCTTCTTCCAGCTCTCATAGAGTTGGACCTCTGTGGATGGGCCTGACCACCCTTAGCAGTTTTCTTATGGGACTCGGAGAAGCAACTGTCCCCTGGGGTTAGAAATGTGTTCCAGGAGAGAAAGTCTCAGGAAGCATAGCCAGGCCAGCCCGCCTTCTCCTGTCCAACACAGCCCAGAGTGGAAAGGGCCCCAGAACCCACAGGGTAGGTTGTCATGTGGAATCTCCTGCCGTTTCATTTTGTAAAGTTGATACCAGGGGCTGGAGAACCAGTCATCTTCATTTGGGAGTTACGTGGTTAGAACAGTGGTTTCAGACATGGTTTTTAACCTTTCCATCAGTGGCCAGCTTCCTTGAGGGCTGAACTTGGGTCTTTACCTTGTCCTTCCCACCTCCGTGTTTGGTTTGGCCATTTTCCACCTTTCCTCATGGGTGCTGGTGCCCTCTGACCCATCCTCCCTTTAGTGACAGGCCTCAGTGCCCACCACACATGGCCAGAACAATTAGAAACCATGTCCCTGTTTAAGCTCCTGAACTGGGATGGGCATGGGGCACAGGGTGGGTTCTATCCCCTAGTCTCTGCTGTCCTGTACAAGGCCCTCCCCACATGGCAGAAAGCAGCTGGAGGTGTGGAGCAGCAGGGAGCCCCTGGTGGAGCAGTGGGGAGCCCCTGGTGGAGCAGTGGAGAGCCCCTGGCTGAGGCTGAACGAAGCAGCTAAGAACAAGGACTGTAGAGCACGTTACCTCCCTCTACCTCATCGCTTCTTCCTCTGCATGTGACCTACTGGATGGAGGTGGAGCTGGTCCTAGGAGATGTAGCTCAGTGAGTGTTTGGTATAAAGTGGTTCCATCCAGAGAGGCTGAATCCCTGGATCAGCTGTGGCTGAAGGAAGGCATAAGAGACCTGGGCTGTTCAAGTCCGCCACTGTATCCACCAGCCCCAAGGATGCTGAGGCCAGAACAGAGACAGGAAGGGGAGAGCTGGCCCTTATTTGTTCTCCTTATCCTCATTGTTGCTGAGGCCCCCCTGTGCTTGTTTGTTTTGTGTTTTTCTTCTCTCTCACTGGCCTACAGCAGACTGCAGAGGAAGGAATGAGCCAGACCTAGCAGGTTCTTCCTGCTTCCTGCCAGGGCTGGGGACCCTTTTATTCCCAGCTAAGATAGGCTTGAACACCACACACCAAGCCTGTGGAGAGAGACCCTTCACAGCTTTGGATCCTCTCCCTTCCTCAAAGAACTCCTTCCTGTGAGAGATGCAGAAAGGGGAGTCTGCTGCCTTCGGCTTCCTTCTTCCTCGGATACCAGCTCTGCAGGCTGAACCCTGCTTTTGAACTCACAGGTTACGCAGCCCCAATAACACTCTCAACTCTGGCGTGGTCGGCATGGCCTGTGGCGCCTATCAGGTCCCTTGGAAGTGCCCGGGACTCAGCAAACCTTTTAGGAACTTGAAAGGAGGATGAGACTGGAGCCCCAGGTAATCCTGGGCCCAGGCTGGTGGCTTCAGGTGAGGACAAGGACATCTGCTGTGGACTGGGAGAAGAGTGGGTATTTCCCATGCCCAGAAGCAGAAGCGAGAGAGAATTGCTTCCTCTTTCTGAGCCTGCTGACGTGCTCTGTGTTCCCCTTATGCCCTCCCCCTCCCCCGTTTTCCTTACTTCCGCTGGCCCATGGTATAGCAGTTTGCCCTGGACGGTGGCTCCACCCTAGGAGTCCCTCCTTTGAAGGCTGTGAAGGGGCAGATTCTAGCTTTCTCAGAAATGGACTAGACACCAAGCAACAGGTCTGTGAGGCTCGACACTCAGATCCTTCGCCATGCCAGGGCCTCCCCAGTCCTCCTCCCTGCTCCCCTTTCCTTCTTGACCCCACTGGAGAGTCTGCTGCGCTGAGAGCTACAGGCTGCAGTCTCTCTGTTGCCCGGCTCCTCTTTCGTGTCCTTCCCGGGGCTGTGCTCAGCCTAGGACATCCTCTTCTCCTGCACCCCAACCCCCCTGTCCACTTCCAGACTTTGTGGACCTCAACTCCTGTCTTTCCTGAGACTCACCTCAGGACTCAAAACTAGACACCATTCATTTGGGGCTCTTGTAGATGGCCAGGTTTCCTCCCATGTCCTGTTTCCCAACCCTTTGTGGCCAGGGGTCTCTAGCAACCCTTCAAATGAAGGACAGTACATAAGCTTACTATGGATTAGAACTGACTGGAGAAGAAAGAGAGGGCAGCCTCATTCTGGAGAAGAATGCCTAGCCACCTGAGGAGAACTGGTCAGCTTACACATTTTCATGCATGCTTCTGCATTTTGAGCCTTGTGGCCACCCTGTGGCACAGAGATTATTATTGTCCCATTTTACACATAGGAAGACTGAGGGAGTCAGAGAGGTAGTATGCTTTGTCTAGGACTGCCCAGCACTCACCAGCTGTACTGGAGCCTGAGCAGAATCTGTGGCCTCAGGGACAAAGTCTCACCTTAGGGCTTATCAGGGTAAAGACTTGTCATTGTATAAAAGGATCTAGTTCTTATTCTGTCCTGTGGTGCTGTGTGACCATCACGCTGGTCATGCCATTTATTTGAGCATCTATTTCAGCATTGGGAAAGCAAAAGACAAGATTATTTCTTGAAGGTTCCTCTTGACTCATACCTTGTCTATCAGAAAATAACTAATCTCTTATATCAGTGGCCTAGGCACACTCCAACTCCAGCTGTTCAGTAAATAGTTAAAAGATGCAAGCATGATATGAGGTTTTAACTCCGATTTAGGAGCTGGCTGTTAAAAGTTGGCTGCTGAGGTCCCCTAGATGCCAGGAGTCTGGGACTGTAACTACTATTAATTTTTCCGCATCTTGCAGAGATCTGGCAGGGACTGAAAACTGGACCACTCCTAAACTAGTCAGTATCGGAAGGGCAGATCTCACATTTGTTGGACACAGACTGATCAGGGCAGGGGCTCCAGGTACCCAGTCTCACGTTAGCCTCACAGGTAGGGAAACAGAGGCTGGGGAAACAGACACTCAGGTGGAGTGAGAATTTACCTTCCTTAAATCCTGGGTTGCTGGCTTGGAGCATCAGGCCAAGGGGCAGTTACTCTCTGATGTCTAGCTCCCAAGAAACTGGCTTCTCCCTCCAGCGAGATGCTAACCTGCACAATGATGGGTGGGCCTTTCAGGGCTCAGGCCTCCTTGGCTTGATCTCAGCTCTGAGCTTCTCACTCACCTACTTCCTGGTCTTCCTTTTACTTTTTATTCTCTGTTTGATTTCCAAATTGCTACATCCTGGCTCACATATCACAGTGCCAAGGAGCCTTCTTTAAGACTCATGGGTCTTGTTCTCTTCTGATTTTTACTTATAAATACTCTCTGGCTCTCTTAAGTTCATGATTTCAATCATTCATTCATTCATTCATTCAGTTTCTCTACTCCTCCAGGTACTGGGCTGGCCCCATGGGGAATCCAGTCTCTCTGGAGATTAGCCTGATCTCTCCCACTTAGGCTTTACATCTCTTCCAGTCCCCTGTTATGCCTTGTGTGCTTTGGGTCCCAGGCAGGAACTTCTTAGGAAAGAAGTGGAAGGGTCCTTCAGTCTCTTGGGGGCGTCTTGCACATTGGCCCAAGCCTGGTCCATGCCTGGTGCTCTTAACACTCACACTGGTCATCTCTTCTCCTTCCCTGTCCTCAACCACATCCCACGCCGTGTGTGTGATCACATGCCTTTCTAGAGAAGGGCACACACAGATGGAGAGCTTTTCTACCAAGAGACAACCTCAGGGATGCTCACAGCCATAGCATCTCCTTTGAGTCTGCATGGCCTTGCTCCAAGCCAGGGTCAGTAGGGTAGGTTCAGGTGACAGGACCAAGAAGACCACAATCTATGGTGCTGCTTTCAATGCTCCAGGGGTTTGAGAAGGTCAAAACAGGAGCAGATGGAAGTATCATGTTATTTTTAAAAACTGCTTAGTGAGCAAAACCCAGCTAGAAAGTGGCAATGTTTGAGCAAAAGCTGATACAAAACAGGAAGCTAGTGGCCTGGTGAATTCTCACACTTGGGGACCAGAAGTGAAAATGTTCTGTCTGCCCAGAGGAACAAAAAACCGACAAAACAATAAGTGGGGCTGTGCTGGAGGCCCTAGTGGACCCCGCCCTTCCCACCCTCCCATACATCCCTACCCTCCCTTCTGCAGAGTCCTGGGCTTGGCTTCCCCTCCTCAAAGCCTTGGGTAGGATTTCTCATACACAAGCAGAGGACTGCTGGGAGAAAGGAGGGTGGGAAATGGAAGAAGCCTCTCATCTTCTAGTCTAAGCCCAGCCCTTCTCCTTATAGACTGTGGGCTGAGATCCTCTGGGTCCCAGGGACCTTGTTTATGTAAGGTTGCCATCAGAAACTTTGAGGCTTCTCCCAGCTGTGAGACCATTTCCCAGTGGGTAACTTCATTCCCACCATGATGGGGTGAGGGTGGGGGAGAGGTGAATGGACACTGTGTGTGTGCATACACATACATACAGAATTGAGCCAGCCGGGAGGATCATGTCTAGTTGCCTGTCACAGTCTCAGGAGGTTTGGCATGCTGGGTACCCAATGAATGTTTGCCCCAAGGGTGGATGAATGCGTGCTGAATGTTTTCAGGCCCCTTTGCCTTGTCTCCTGGATGTATTCTCTTGCCTTATATTTCCTGTTTGGTCTGCAGCCCTAAGTCCTACAGCACATAGGAACTGCAGAGTGAAGAAAGAGGGAAGGGAGTGATCATAGAACCATGTGACTGAGAGGAGAGAGGATGGCCAACGTACAGTCAAGCTTTCGCTCAGAGTTGCCTCTAGCTCTCTCTCTCTTCTAGGTCCAGGCTAACGTCTCCCAAGCACCTGCTTTGCTCAGTCTTCCATGACCATCATAATCATCTCGATGCTTCCTGAACTGCTTCCACCTGCGTTCAAACGCTTCTTTGACATGAATGGAAAAGTTCTACTCATTCATGCATTCACCAAAGGTTTGTTGAGTGCTCATTACTATGCACTACCATTGACTGGGTGTAGAGGGCACGGACTTCAATCAAGAGGAGTTCCTGCTGTCAATGAGCTGGAAGGAGTGTTGGCTAAAGGACCTTCCATGGAAGCAGTATACCCAGAGAACTAATGGCATGGTCAGCTTCGACACTATCTCCATCTGACAGATCAGAAGACTGAGGTCCAGACAGACTCATTTGCAAAGAACAGATCATGCCTAGAACCCAGAGAAGCAGTCTTTCCAGTCCCTGGGCATGCCCCTGGGGCCTCTCCATCTCCCAATAGCCTTGCTGTGCTAGTTGATTAGTCTGAGTGGACCTTGCTGTGGTTTGGTTAGCCTGAATGAACAGATACCATGAGCTCACCCTGCCTCCCCACGCTCCACCCCAGACCAGGGTATACAGCACTGGCTCTATTATCCTGACTCTTTGCTAGCTTTGAATCCTGGGTTCAGATCTTCTATGGCCTGTCACAGACTCCATGCCTGCGCCTTCCCACCTCCACTTCACTTCTTTCCAGTGAGTCCAGCAGGAGTGTACTTAGCACCTACAATGTATTTCACACCCTTGCAGGTGCAGAGGGCACCCAGAGCGATACTTCACACTTCCCATTTCATTTTCACAGGACGGCCACCTAGTGACAAGACACGCAGGGTCTGAGTTGGCCAGGGGTGGGGGGGCTTTGCCGAGGGCACGTGGGTGGCCTTGAAACAGCAAAGTGGGAGAAGAGCTTTTGGGGATGGGGAGCAGTGAGGATGTGAAAGGGATGAAAATGAGAAGGGGCTGGAGCCAGGACGGAGGTTTTTGGAGAACCTTCTGAGCAGAGACTTTGAGTGCTGTCTTCCCAGTTGTCGGTAGAATTCAAAGCTCGAATTTGCATTTCAGCCCTTCGGCTCAGTCAACAGTAGGGATGATTTTTCAGTGGTGAGGGACGCTGGGGGCATATGAGAAACGGTAGAGACAATGGAAATTAAGGAGAAAATGCTCGCTCCTATTCAGAGACACTTCACTCCTCTCCAGGCACCGGAGAAATGAACGTGGATTAGCAGTTGAGGAAGCAGGAGTTGTTGGGGCCCTCCATGAGTGCATTTGGGGGGGGGTTGGGCCAGGGGCTAAAGAAGGGAGCTGGTGTGTTGAGGAGTGGCCATTTCTGGCAGAGGCTGCAGGGCTGCAGGATGCTGCTCACGCGTGCATCACGCATGTTATGTACAGAGTGTAGCAGTCTATAAATGGGACTGCTCTTCTAAAGAGCTGATTATGAAGGGAAGGAAGGAAGGGGTACTGTGTCTACTCTTCCCTGCTCATGCCCACTCCAGAGTCCGTGACTCTGCAGGTGGGGTAATTCACTAAAGGGAACACTTGGCTGTTACATCACCCCCTAGTTTGGGGCTGTGGCTGTCTGAAGATCCCTGAGGCTCCTGGCTGGGGTCTGCAGTGCACATGCCAAGCTCAGGCATGGTTCTGGACACTCTAGGCCAATAGGATGGCTGCCTGCTCCTCCTAGAGATAACGAGTCTGGTGAATATCCCGAGTTTACGGGCTGTAGATGGCCAGGAACCCTCTCCAGACCTGTCTTCTCATCTCTATGCCATGAGGACAAATCCACCCACGATACAAGTCTCACAGAGAACACAGAGCACTTGCCTCAAAATCCCCAGCCCTGAGCCCTAACCCAGGACCACTCCCATCCTGAGAGCTACTTAAATATCTTCCTCTGCATGAAATACCACCACTGAGGCAAAGCTCAGCTTCTCCCAGGTCCCCAACACCTTCACCCCGCCACACCATGTTTTCCCTTCCATACCCATGTTATGCACTGCTCTCCATCAGGTTCAAGTGGCAGTCAACGCTTGACCCTTTCTTTGTCCCCAGCCTGCTGTCCTGTCTGGCTTTCCTTGAAGTGTCCTTTGGATTTGTTCATTCTTCTCTAGTCCCATTGCCCTTGCTCAATGTATGTGTATAAAGCATCTCTATGGACTGAAGGTTGGTGCCCCACCCCCCAGCCCTCAGTGGTGTAGTCCTAACCCCTTAATATGATGGTGGGGCTTTTGGAGGCTATTGGATGAGGTCATGGAATGGAGCCTCATGATGGGATTAGTGTCTTCATACAAGGAAGAGACCAGAGATAACTTTCCATTATGGGTGGTGTAGCTCCAAGTTACCTATAGACAAGGAGCACCACCCCCTCCCCGTGGGAGCTGGATGAGCTAGAACTGTGATCCTTGACTTCCCAGCCACCCGCAAGCTTCTGGTTAAAGCTCCGCCCCCCCCCCAATGTGCTCCTACAGCCAGAGGGAAGGCAGCTTCCTACACTGCTTATCTACTTCCTGCCTCATTCTGGGTGCAGGATACTAGTTTCTTTCATGGCACTTATCACAGCTTGCGACACTTGTTAATACTCAGTTGCTTGATCTTTATAACCAGGCAGTCTGCTCCATGAAGCCAAGGCTGAATACCACATCTGGCATATGGTAGGTAACCGCTGAAGAAATGAAATGCTGGGCTGGCCAGGTGGGTCAGTGGGTAAAGGCCCTTGCGGCCAGGCCTGATCATTTGAGTTCCATCCCTGGAATCCATATGGTAGAAGGAAAGACCAAGACAGCTGTAGGTTGTCCTCTGACTTCCACATACATCACACTTAGCCTGAATGAACAGATACCATGCGCTCACCCTGCCTCCCCATGCTCCACCCCATACCAGGGTATACAGCACTGGCTCTATTACCTCTGCTGACTCTTTGCTAGCTTGGAATCCTGGGTTCAGATCTTCTATGGCCTGTCACGGACTCCATGCCTGAGCCTTCCCACCTCCACTTACTTCTTTCCAGTGAGTCCAGCAGCAGTGTACTTAGCACCTACACTGTATTTCACACCCTTGCAGGTGCAGAGGGCACCCAGAG